TTACAAGAAAATATAAATCAAGTGATTTATCGTTATGACTTATAATTTGAATAGTGCATTATAAATATTTTAAACTTCCGTAAGTTTTTACGGTATGTAAGAAAATCGTAAACTTACGCAATATGTTTATGCAAATTTACGCTTTTCTTACGATGCGTAAGAAAATCGTAAACTTACACAATATGTTTATGCAAATTTACGCTTTTCTTATGATGTGTAAGAAATGCATTAATTTGCATAATATGTTTATGTAAATTTACGATTTTCTTACGCATTGTAAGAAAAGTGTAAATTTGCGTAAACATATTGCATAAGTTTATGATTTTCTTACTTACCGTAAAATTTACGAAAGTTTACACTTATATATTTTTGCTGATGTATGTCAGATAAAAATCTTAACATTAATAATAACCAAACTTTCACTCAACCTAGCAACATTGTCCCAAGCCCTGATCTATCTAACATCGACGCCAACACAAAAGCTTACATTGATGTAGCATGCCAATCATCATTATATACAATTATTGATATAATAAAATCGTACATAGATCAATCCATAGCAACATATTTAGAATTGATTAACAAGTTAAATGATTGAATCAATTTATGTCTTAATGTATAACAAACATCAAATGCTCAACCTAGTACCTCAAATCAACCACTTGTACATACTGACATTAGCCACAACCATGATCAAACCCAACCAGGACTCAACTACAAAGCATCTAGATGGAAACAACACTAACCAACAAGGTAATTGTCCCCTAACCCACTTTTAAACAATCTCTTTTTACACCCTAGTGCGACTAGCCCAAGATGTAAAACAAGTACTACACCTCTTCAACTCCAAACCAATTCGTTAAAAATAAAACCAACCACATATGCATTCCTATCCTTCAACTACTCAGAAATGAATAATTTACCAACACCTATAGTTTTAACAACCCTACTGTAGCCCAAATAGAATATATTTGTTTTTGGTGGGTCCTTAACTGGTTGGAAGGACACAAAGCTATTGTAACAATGCCTAGCAAGTCCAGCTTACCCACATAGTTATAGAAATTTATTGCTTTCGGTGTCTACATAGACCTACATGAATTCATATATAAAAACCTAAAAGCTTATCTTAAAAACAACAAAGAGAATTACATTTTTTTGACAACTGAGGGTGGCACTATCGCATTGCATAAATGCAACCATTTTCAAAAAATTCGCCAATATCGCAGAATAGCTGCTTGTATTCAAGTCCTATATGGAAGCCATAAGCAAGAATTAAACACTTATAGAGACTACATTAGCACACTTTATATAAAACAAGAATTTGCAGCAGTTATTAATTACAATGAAGATAGATATATACATTTAACAATAAACTATGACTCAACACTGCTAGACCAAAACATAGAGGCTGAAGGAGAAAATTTTAACATAACCACCACCAAAAAATACTGCTCTAGTATCAATTCAAGAAATATAAGATCTGATATATTTTGGTATAACAGAAGGCAAATAATATGCTTGAACTAGAACTGAGGTTGTAACAAAGAAGCAAATTGTTAACATGTTCACGTTTGTCTGACATGCAGAAAGTTTGGGCACCCAGAAAAAAGATATTTTCTAAACAAAAAAAGTTAACACTCAGCAATCAAACCAAAACAAATAGCTCGATAGTATATATAGATGAACATATAAGTATATACAATCATACAAAAAAAAACATCAAAAAAAAAAAAGAGAACAAACAATTATATTTGTTACTTGCTAGTTTTGACTCACTAACAATAATCATATAGAGACCCTTGCAGACCTGCTATATATTAAAAAAAACCCCAATAGCAATGACAAGCAAATACAATTTCTAAATTTGGATCCACCAACAATATATATACACAGCCCAAAGACAAAAAAAAAATAAAATAATAATAATAAATAATATATATATATATATATATATATTTATATATATATAAGAAGAGAAAAGATGGAATTAATATGCACACACTACACAAGAAGCAAACTATATAAAAATAAGCACATACAATAATAAGCTGAATAAAGGAATATGGGGCTGAGGGAGCTCACGATCACTTCAATAAATATAAATATATATATATATATGATAATAATAGAATATTACAAAATACGTAGCAAATTCTAAAAAAAAAAAACAACAGAGAGTAAGAAACGCAAGGCCAAGTTGTGTCAAATAAATCAAATTGCAGTAATATAGACAGTCACGTAGGACTCCAAAAAACTCTAATGCAATTCATATATTATTAAAAAAGAAAACTTTGTATAGAAAATCATAAAATATTGCTTTTTTATATAGTAAATTTTTTTAAAATTTGCTCTATTTTATATATCTATTTGACCAAATTTATACAAACTTTATACAAACTTAGATTTAAGTTGTATCAGAGTTCTTCAGAGTTCTAGTCATATACTATTAACAAATTTTATATTAATATAGTCTTAATAATTATTACTCAGACAGTCATTACAGAAAGCCTAAAACACGTAGCACAATTTAAACTGTCTCGAAATATTACTCTAGATAAAGCCACAGCATTACAATCAGTAAATGAAACCATCTTGGCAACTCCTCCTTCTAATATTTCTCTAAACGATATTAAGCAAAGTCTGCTTTTACAATTAGACCCACAATACTTCAACATTTGAACCCCAATTAACATAATCGTGTTCAAACACCTAACAAAATCACACCCCAATTGCCTGTTCATAAACTACTTAATCAACAGCATTAGACACAGTTTCTGCTTCAATTTCAAAGACACCCATACTAAATTAATTTAAAAAAACTTATAATCTATCAATACCTTATCTGATGCATTCCAGAACCACATAGTAAATGAACTTGCTAATAAATAGATTTGTAGCCCTTTCTCAATAGATAATCCTCTCTATAACCTGTTTCAAACCAACCCATGCAGCTTAGTGAAAAAGAAAAATACAAACCCTATAGTATATTATATCATATCACACCTTTATTTTCTACCCAACACAAGTATTAAGGATTGAATTGATAAACTTGAATTTACAACCAAATATGAAAATGTAACCCATACCATTAAATGGATAACCCACTTTAGCAAGGGTTGCACCTTATCCAAAATAAACATAAAAAATGCCTACTACATTATTTCTGTCCACCTGGTTGATCAATTATTACAAGACTTCTGCTATGGCAATAATATCTATTTCGATAAAGTACTTGCATTCAGAAATCAGACATCAGGTGGGATCTTCTGCCATTTCACAGATACTATAGCATGGTTTGCCAACCAACAAAGCATCTTAGCAATAATTCACTATGTGGATAACTTCTTTATAATAATACTAACCAATGGATTACAAGAGCTACAACAATTTATTTGCATCCTTGACACACTAAATATATCATACAAAGAGACAAAAATGAAGAGCCCAAGTACTCACGTCTTATTCCTTAGAATTATCTTGAATACTATAACCATTATAGCTTCTATCTCTACACAAAAATGTAACAAGCTCATACTTTTATTTAGAGACTGGAAAAACAAAAAATGGTGCTTTATTAAAGATTTACAATTACTAGTAGAATCATTGGTATAGGCATGCCAAGTAATTCCACAAGGACACCTCTTTGTATAGTGACTAATTAAGGTACAAGATGTCCCAAAAAACCCTCCAAGCCTATATTGGCTGACATCCAATGGTAGATCTTTTTTATTTAAACCTGGCCAGATATTCAACTACTTTAAGACCACAACTAGTGTTACTCACTTACATTAAATTTATTTACCAATGCATTAAATATAGGCAGAAATGTAACGTATAGTAATTATTTTATAGTATTTAACTAGTTAAATATAATTGATCTAACCAGAATAAACACCCAAATGCGTGAACTCTTAACCACCCTCATTGCAATCCAGACATTTGTTCCTATGTAGAAAAGGAAGAAATTAATCATATTGTAAAATAATAATATTTTTAAATTCAACATCCCATGTGGTCATATGGTTATGTGACATAGTTGAACCTTTCGCGTCATGGCTACTACTAGTCTATTTTTTATATATAGATTTATATAGTATATATTTTTTCTTTATTTATTTATTTAGTTATGTTATTATTTTCGTTATGCATAAATTCATTATGTATAATTCGTTACACATATAATCATTACACATAAATTGTTATGCATAAAATCGGTTTGCATAACTAGGGCCAGTAAATAGTTTTAGAATAGAAATTGTAATTATAAAAGAGATGTAAATTGGTTTCTTGAAAAGACATGATTCACTATCATGTTCTAAAAACTATCTAAATAAAAGCCTCTTCATCTTGAATCTCTTCTAACAAAGACCTAACCCAACCCTATAACTAACTATTTTGGTTACAATATAAACCGACAACTCTGCTAACACCAAAGCATATTACTCAGGCTATTGCAAGAACCCAGACATTAATAACATAATTGCCAACATATATAAAGCACAAGTTCTTGAAAATTACTCTGTAAAGCTTAAACATATTCCCGGTGCAAAAAATATAAATGCAGACTTGCTGTCTCGTAACAGGTACTGAGAATTCATCATACAAAATCTCTTGTCTTGCTTCCTTTAACCAAACATACCCCAAGAATTCACCAACCTAATATTCTTAATCTCTTCTTTAAAACAATAGGTTTCTCTACTCTAGTTTTTTCACCACACCTCCTAGCAACTGAATTAAACAAAAGTAGCAACTTTGATATTTACCTTTTACTATACAAAGAAGCAGCATCTATTTTTAATATAACAACTCCTGTTAATAAATCATACAAAGCAATTATCAAACAATACAAGACATTAACTACCAGCAATATCTAGCACAACTACAATGGAACTGTGTAGCCAATTTTGAAGGACTTACTAATAAAATACATTACATATTTATACAAAAACGTAGTCTCATTTACAATACTTTTTTACCTCTTAATACTAAAATATCATCATACAAGGAACAAGTACAACTAGAACTACATACATACCAACCCCTTGTAGTTCAAATCCTAAAAACAATCAATACAACCCACACCTACACTCTAGTAAAGCAAAAAACATACATCACCCGGCAATATCTTTCAAACATCAAAAACAAACTCAATGCTTAAAGTCTCACAGATGTCATCTTTTGGTCCATAGTACTTATTGCTTTCTATGGCCTAGCCAGACTCAGAGAACTGCTACCAAACAGCCAGTCTAACAGTTTCAAAGTTTCTACTCTATGAGCAATAAACTTTGACAAAATTAAAAATCAGACATTTGCTACAATACAACTTGCAAAAACAAAAAATTACAAAACAGCTAACTGTGTTTTTTTAATCATCAGCCCAATCAACAATAATCTTTGCCCCATATGCACTTTGAAAACATATATTCGTTTACAAATATATAGAACATATACAGGTAACAATAATATACTATTTGTAAAACTAGATGGAACTTGGACAACAAAAAGATGGTTCATTACCAAACTAAAGAGCCTAATCTTTAATGAAAACATGGCCAAATATAGTTTTCATACAAAAGGCACCACCAAATTAGTCTCACAAGATGCCCAACTGGTGGTAATTCAAAAAATCAGTAGATAGGACTCAGAGTCTTTTTATCATTATATCCAAAATTACCTGGCCATGATTGCATCTATTCTTATAAAAGCTTATACTAATTAATCCTTTTACAACATATTTGAAAGGATCCTTGATTACAAAAAAAAAAAAAAGAGAGAGAAGAAATATATATATATAACAACATATCCTCTTGATTGTAGTAAAATGCAGACAAATTTGCCTGCATTTTTGCACTTTTTTAGCTCTGATTTACTTTTTTAAAATGCCAAATTATTTAAATAAAACTTTGTACAATTATATTTGAAAATAAGAATTACTTTTTTGCAAAATTAAAGTTTATATTATAAGAAAAAAAATTAAGGTTATATATAAGCTAAAAATAGATAATTTTAAAAAATTTTTTTTTAAAAATTTTATTACAATTCTTCTGCAATCTTATTTAGTTTTAATTTTAAATCTATAGTTCTTAATACAATATTATAGCTTATATAAAGGATGACAACTTTCATTATTACACTTTTAGTGATTTATTTGTAAAAATTAAGACTTGTATTAGAAGTAAAAGTTTTTTGTAAAGGCAAAAACATATAAAATTTAAGAAAACCCAAAGAAAATTTTTAATAGTAAAAATTCTAATACAAGAACTTTAAATTTTAATTGTACTAAAATTTTCTGATAATTTTAAAAAAATTTTATAACAAAGTTATTAAAACAACTCTAAAAATATATTTTTTATTTAGAAAAGATATAGCTAAAATTAATATTTAAACTTTTATTAAAGAATTTTAAAAAACACAGGCAAATTTGCCTGTGTTACAGACAAAGGGATACATATAACAATATAAGACTTATATACATATACATATAGTAAATGAACACATATAGCATATATACAAAAAAAAAAAAAAAGAGTGTACATATCTTTCAATTTACACAATAACTATACAAATCCAAGTTGGACTAATACTAACATACATATATACAAAAAAAAAAAAAAGGGGGCAAGAGTCAAAAGAGAAAATTCAGTAGACATCTCACGCACATAAACTCAATATACAAACCTTGTAATAGCAAAAAAAAAAAAAAAAATCCTGAACATCAAAATTGAACAAACCTTGAAACAGTCATATAATTCTGCTATTCTAATAGCCAGCCTGCTTCAGCAGGTGGGAAACCACCAGCTAAATAATTAAGCTATCCTGCCTAGTCTGTTATGACAATTCTTAATATAATCAATATTGCTAATTATTTTAGGATAATCAATGTTCAATTCCTATGGCTCATTATCTAACTTATCTATCGTTAATAAAGTTATTCCTAGTTCTCATCCCAGCTAGCATTGCTCCATATATAAAGTGCATGACAATGTTTTTCATATATGTTAACCACAGTCAACAATTTAAAAAACCTCTAAGCGCTTGATCCACCTGTAATATATAAATTTAGGGGTCCCACTCGAGTACCAGGGATGGTGGCTCAGAGATCGAATACACTAAGTGCTTGATCCACCCTATAAATTTAGGGTCTCACTCAGGTACCTTGGATAGGGGCTCGTAGAACACATGCAACAGATCACCAATCAGATATCATGTATGAGATCGACGGGCCACTATACAAGTCACCCCAAATCAAACCTATAAATACTCTACATCAACTCCCGCCACAAAAGACAGTCACATGATTCTGCCATTCTAATAGCCAGCCTGCTTTGGCAGGTGGAAAACCACTGGCTAAATAATTAAGCTATCCTGTCTGGTCTGTTATGTTTCAGTTCCTATGACTCATTATCTATCTTATTTATTTCTAATAAAGTTATTCTTGGCTCTCATCCTAGCCAGCATTGCTCCATACATAAAGCACGTGACAATGTTTTTCATGTATTTTATTTCTAAATTAGTAATTCATAAATGAGGACTATACTAGGAAATTGTCGATTTGGGAATTAAATAATTCCCCGATTGATTATCAAATTAAATTTTTATGTAAAATTATGTTGATTAGTCAGAGAATCTTTTAACTCCTGGATTGATATTTTTCTAGACCAGCTCAAATCTTTATAAGT